CACACACACACACACACACACACACACACACACACACACACACACACACACACACACACACACACACACACACACACACACACACCAATTGCTACAGGAATCCACGGTGCACAGCTCATCCACCGATTCGACCTCTGTGGCATCGCACTCGACATCAGCACACACTCGCTGTACGCAGCAGTTGGCACAGGAGTCCGTTGTGCACTCGGTATCATCCTTACGAATGATACCGGCTCCACACGTGGTGTCGGCACAAAGCTGTGAACGAATATGAAACGAGTTTGAGTGAGAGATCTGTATGCGAGGCGTATCTCTGAGCACAAGCACCGTGGTCAGCCTAATGCGCAGGCCCATCGCACCAGCAACATGCTAAGTCGTACCAGCTATTGCACTACAACCGAATACAACTGGATGCAGTTTACACCCTGACATTCGCGGATGAATTGTTATCGAACCGCTGTACCCAACGAACTTCCCGCCCTGACTTCAACAAACAACTACGCACAAAGCTCCATCAACACGTGTTCCAGTACACACTCACCAGTTGCTCGCAGCAGTTGGTTCCTTGGGAATCCGAGAAGGTCTCGTCGCCGCTTCGCACCAGCCCAGGGCCACACGTGCGACTGCTACAGTCCTCTAGTTCACAGCAATTCGAACAGTTATCCGATGAACAGTTTTCATCTCCGGTCTCGTACTCGTCTGTACGGCACGCGTCATCTGCATTGCATGTCAACTGCCTACAGCAGCCATTGCAGTCGTCGTCTGCGCATTGTTCCTGGTCGGTGCGCTCCTCTCCCGCCTCACACTCAAACTCTGAGCACAGCAGAGGCTTGCAGCAATTCGCGCAGGAGTCCGTGTTACAGTCCTCTCGCGGGGTCTGCTCAAAGCCGTCCCGGCACGGACGTACCTCGGTACAGGAGCGTTGCCTGCAGCAGTTGGTGCATTCGTCATCGTCACACACAGTGGCGGAGGTTACCATCTCCCCAGGCACACACTCGTGGCTGCCACACACCAGTTGTCGGCAGCAGTTAGAGCAGGCGTTGTTGGTGCAATCCGTTGCTCCGGTGCTCACAAAGCCTGGCGCACACTCCGAGATCTGAACCGCACACGTTCTACGCACACAGCAGTTGGAACAGTCGTCGTCCACACAGTCCTCGTCCGAGGTTTGCTCGAAGCCTGGATTGCAGCTTTCATCGGCACACTTGCGTTGCACACAGCAGTTGTCACAGCCATCCTCCTCACAGCGCTCATCCCCACTGGGTCCCTCTCCAGGCACGTTGCAGGGGTTGTTAGAGCACAGCTTGGGCCGACAGCAGTTGTCGCAGTTGTCTGTGGTGCAGTCGCCCTGGCCGGGAATAGGCACAAAGTTGGGTGGGCACTCATACGCATCGCACGTCAGTTGGGTGCAGCAATTCACGCAGCTCAGCGTAGAGCAGTCCTCTACCTCCGAGTTGCGCACCTTACCTTCGCCACAGAAGCCGTCTGTGGCACAGGTCAGCTGCTCGCAGCAGTTGGTGCAGTCATCGTCTGTACAGTTCAGGTCGCCTGTGGCCGCCTCACCGCCTGAGCATGTGGAGGGGTCACAGACAAGCTGTGTGCAACACTCTGTGCACTCGTCTGTGTCACATGTGGTGATGTCGGCGTTCTTCTCTTGGCCAGCGGGACACTCGTGGCCGGAGCACAACAGGGCCCGACAACCTGTGGGAGTGCAATGTATGTGGGAGTTTGTGAAAGTCTTCTGGATGGCAACTGACACATTCACATATCATGTGGGTTTCAACAAGTTCGTTCATGGCTGTGAAGGGGATAATATAATAAACAAATATACGCCTTTGCTTACTCAAAGCAATCGTTATATGGATATATACACTATATTAGATAGACACTGAGGAGGTACCATAAAAGATGTTGGCAAGCACCACTTACCAATGCACATGGCGTGGTAGTTGTGCTTTACGATGGTCCCACAATGCCGATAGGCAATAAACTATCCATCCCCAGCACATGCACTTGCACGAGTACAACCAACAGACTGAACTCATTATTAGTTCAGCTATTCAGTAACTTACAATTGGTACATTCGTCATTGGTACAATTAACCGCAGCGGTCTTCTCAAACCCGTCATCACATGTGATTGGGGCGCAGGTCAGCTGTTCACAGCAACCGTCGCAACTCACATCAAGACATTCCACAAGTGCAGTTTCAGTGAAACCAGCAGCGCAGTCCTAAAAGGAAAAGGAGTGCCGTGCGAAACGCGATGTGGATAATAAATATGGGCGTAGAGTTTTTGCGATCACTTGATTGCATTTGATGTAAATAAAACAGTTGCTTGACAGAACATGGATGATGAACATACAATAAAAGACACGTTTCAAAAAGCAACGGACATACGTGCAGACCAGGATATGTTGTGACATTTGAGAAACTAATGCAATGAAGTGATATAAACCTGTCAATGAATTTGATTTCATGCTGGGCAAACATGAGTTTCCTATTCCTATCAACATAGCACCAGTTGTACATCGGGGGTGACTTACCGCGTCTTCGACACAGGTCTTGGCGAGCACACAGCAGTTAGTGCAGTCGTCGACAGAATCACAGGTATCCTCTCCGGTACGGTCAAAGCCTGGTGGGCACGTATTTGCGCTGCAGGAGATATCCTTGCAACAGTTGGCGCACGAATCAGAGGTACACTCGGTTTCGCCAGTCTGGACGCTATCAGGGTCGTCACAGTCAACATCTGCGCACAGCAGTTGGTCGCAGCACTGTGTGCAGTCTTCGTCCTGGCAGCTCTCGTCAATCTGCTCAGCGATTCGCACCGATCCAGGGCCACAGTTGGCATCTTCTCGGCAGGTGATCTTACGGAAGCATCTGTCGCAGTTCCCGGGCGATATATTCCCGAGATCGTCACGGCAGAACACCAGCTCAGTGCGTGTCAAAAACGGATCGGGTATAGGGTTGCCCCGACATAGGTTCTCAGAGGGTGTGCCTATGCAACACTCTTCACAACTCTCTGAGGTGCACTCCAATACGCCGGTACGAGCAGATCCAGTGGGACATGTCACGTCGTCGTCGCAGAGTATCTTACGACAACAGTTTGCGCAGATGGCATCATCGCATTGTTCGTCGCCTGAAATGGTTAGACCCACCCCGCACACAACGTTCTCACAGCTGTCTTGTTCATCACTACCGTTATCACATGGCGGACAGGGAAGCAGTCCGTTCCAGTTGTTACCTGTGGTGTAATATAAACGTCAGATCGAGCGGAACCAACGAAGGCTGTTTAAACGGCTTCTAGTGCGAATCATAGAATGCAACTTGCCATGACTAACTGAGCGCCAATGGGTAAAGACAGCACACATCTAAAACTGAACTGAACCTCATGTATGCAATACAGTACGCTTTATATGAGAAGCACAGCCGTACGCAATCGATAGCAATCAGCAACCGAAACATGATAAATGCCGCCGTTCTCACATACGAAAACTACGCCACCCATATATGCGAATTCAGAACAATGTAGCATCTTAGTTCGAATGTCGCTTTTCTTTGGAGTCGCCTATATTTTCTTTACTTACCGAACAATGGAGACTGTGGGCATGGGCAGAGCGTTGGTAAGCAAACGGTGATGACAGGTCCGGTGAAGGTATTCTCGCAAAATAAATTCTCGTACGCACAGAAGCTCGCAGAAGCACAGTCGGACGTAACATTCACCGTGTCACAGGCGAATGGCGTGCACATGAGCCCTTCTGAGATGAAGTTAGGACTGCACACGGCACAAACCCACTCGAAAGCACCGGATGTGGGATTGTACCAGGTGCTCAGCGCCATACAGTCACTGGGGAGGGCTATAGAGGTAGGGAGGTTCCAATGGTGAGTGGTTAGACTATGGCATCAGCACTATCAGCACTACGCCCGCGAGATATCAAGAATACCGATGTTCATCCCAAAGAGAAGCACAAAGTGTGTGTTAGTGGGTTGTCAATTGCGTTGAGCAATTCTGTGTTAGGTTTTAGGTTGTAGTTCTATTTTTGAGTTGCGCTACGTATGCTTCGGATGATTTGAACGAAATCTTCTTACAGTGGGTCCGAGTACTAAACAGATCAAGTAAATAATGGAGACCTGAACATGCCTTCAGAACTCCCATTTGCATTTCATACCATTTTCAAAGGATATTGGCAACTTACAAACTACACGATCAAACCAGTGGAGGTGAATATTCAGCCGACATCACGTGCACATTACAATTGCATACACAATAATCCCGATGACTTGTGAAGATGGCATACTTAAACCTGTACAAATATATTCAACCACACATTGATACACTTACCTGGTTCGGGTCCGGGGCCCAGGGGTGTGAGTGATCCACTTGGGTCGGGCAAGGTAATGCCACAGTACTCGAAACCTGCCACGGAAGTACTGTTTAGCGCACACTGTGCGATTCCAGAGTACGTGAGATTCAGGACTGCTTGCTGGCAAGCATCTTCACAGACTGTTCCTACGATGGTCGACATAGACTTGTTGGCAGTTCCCGTTGTGTAATAATCCAAAAAGTGCATTGGATGCTCTGCAGTGCACCCAGGTGACTCACATATCAAATCATTCAGTTCGGTCTTAATTGCTTGAAAGTCTGCAAATGTGAGGCTGCCCCTTACACAGAGCTCTACTACTGAGCAATTAGGCGCATTTAACAGACCACATTCGTTAGCTTCAACTAAACGCGTCACCACGACGGTCTCTGTCTCGATGTCGGTTTCGTATTCAGTGATGCCACTCTGAAAGGCATCGCCCATGTCACTCGTTTCTGCAGTCATAGCTGTGCTGGATATTATACCATTTCCTGTGCCTGATCCCTTATTTCCGATGATCGGTCCAGCACCACCCACCTTCACCAAGTCTGCCTTGACAAATGTATTTAAAGACGCGATCGCGGCCAAATATCCGATGCCCAGAGGCAGCGTACAAAGGTGCATCATTGTGATGTACAATAAATTCACCACACGAACAGGCGTTCAATAGTTGTACCTGAATATTTTGTGGCAGTATTCGGGTATACTGTATGGGAATGGAGGACCGAAGTTATAGTCAATACTATTACTATGCGGCGGATAAGTATGCAAGAGCATATGATGAATCAGAGTATTTTTTTCAACACAATGAAGATAGAAAACCTCATTTTTTTTAAACCGAGTATAATCCACCTGATCAGATCCGATTTGCTGAAACATTTTTATACGGCAGTCCGGCGACTGGGGTGTCTGGCCGTCCGCTGGTCACAGTGATCACTGATCATTGATCTCTGGCACTGATCTCTGGCATGATAAGCCAGTAAATAGGTGCACCATAGTCCTCTCCTTCCTTTCCTCATTCCTGTACCCGCCCAACAGTTTTCTGTACATTTATAAATATATATAAATGTCTTTTGTCTTGCTGTTTTTAGTTTTTTGAGTGTTTTCCATCCTCAGAGTCTTTTAAAATTGTACTTTGCACTAGAGGTTAAATAAGCACCAATAATACTAAGATGTTTTGCGGTGAGTAGGCTGGTAACTATGGACTATTTAGATTTTAGAGTATGAATAATGAAACACAAAGTTTAAGAATTTCATAGCATCCTGCGTCGACCTGCGAGGCTGCGACCTGCGGAGTCCTGATTCCTGAAGTCCTGACTGACCTGACAAAAAGACAACTTGACTCCTGCTTTTTTATAAAAATATACATATATATTTATTTATTTGTGTGTGAGTGTGCAGGTGCAGTCGTGCACGCTGCACTGAGCAGTGGGCCTGTGTGCATAAATGTCTAATTTAGAAGGCTATGAATAGACAAATAGACCCCCTAAATACAGTGATACAGATTATCTCGTTAAAAATCAAAACCAAGATTCTTTTTTAGACAAAAACAAAAAAACCCAAAAAAACAATAAAAATAAAGAATCTGTATTCGACCTATTATACTCTCGCGCTGACGGCCTGACGCTCTCAGTCTCGACTCTCGAGACTCGCCGTCTCGCGCGAGTTGCGTGGCTGGTCTCTCCTCTCGGACGTGGAGTCGTGGACTCGCGGGTGCTGCCACCACGCCGCCGTGACCTTCAACTGTTTTTCAAGTTTTTACACACATACCCAACAGTAAACTTTTTTTTTAGTTTTTTTTTAAACAAAATACATATTTTCATTTTTGCAAACATAAAATAGCCCACTCGAACTTAGAAGTGAACAGCCATATTTCGGGTCAGACAACACAAAAAAATTGGGACGGAAGAGAGCGGCATCTAAATTTAGAGAAACATCCCACTGACACATGTCATAGTTTAAATATTTGTACTGAAAAGTACCTAAAATCATAAATAAAGTGGTTGAACGATGTGTGTTGTGCTTACAATCGGAATGTACATTATGTTGGACATAACAAATCAGTCAGTGACAATCTCAAGTGAATTGAAAGGTGTCATGTCACAAGCAATATGACATCGTGTCAAGAACAGAGCAGGTTGCCGCCCTAAGCAATAAATCTCTATATGACCCCAGTAGGGGAATCAAATAAACTTACTTCTTATCTGTTTACATCCGTCTAACAGATTATGGGCCTCGAATTTCACCCGATAGTAAGTCAAATATACAATTAATACCCATCTAAACATCAACTAAACTAAACACTATATAGACATCAAGTCAAACATAGCAGAAAGTTCCTAGAACAAATTTGGAAAATATCACAAATTTTCATATTTATGTCTGATGCAACGGCACCTCGACTGGCGGTGGGGTGGAGACTGACGGTGACGTATAAGTTTGCTTATGACGACACCACCTATGCGTAGGCTGATTTCAGTTATCACACTTTGAAATGATGTCCGACAGTTACATGCCTTCTAATCATTCGACAGAGGCTTAAGGATGCTCTCAGTATTGCTTACACAATGTGCTGGCACACGTGACGTACGATCATCTGAGTGACGGTGATTAATTATGCTGCCGGCGGCCCGATACATGAAAACCCCCTCAAAACAACACTGGCTAGCTGCACAACGTATTTTCCGTTATCTGAAAGGTGTGGTCAAAACCAAGTATCACTTAGTGACGAGTGTTAAGTCTGAAATAAGTGAGCTCAGTCAGTAAATCACGATCCTATGGGAAATGAGACTTTCTCTAGCATTGGGTTCTGTGAAAATATTCGCCTCCATGGTTTTAGATCAGTCATCACTTCTATCTTATTAAATTCTCAATTCCACTAATTGGTCCGGTCCTTTGGTCCGGTCTGCTCAAATATTCCTCTGGTCCAGGTCCGGTCCTCAGAGCCGGTCCTAAATATCTACCTAGGGTACTTTGTCGACAAAGGTACATCACATCTCGGACTCACCTATAAATACCAACAGGGATCTCCTATTGCTGACGCTATTTCTGACGCCGACTATGCCGCCTGCCCTGATACTCGTCATTTCACTACAGGCTGGTCGCTTATGGCATGCATACACTCATCAAATCCATCCTACTCGGAATGGAGTTCCGTCAAGCTGCTTGCGATCCTTACCTATTCATCGCCCATAGTGATAACCTAAAGTGCTTTGTACTTCTCTATGATGATGATATCCTTTTTTGTGGCCATCGACCAACCGATGTCGATGACTTTAAATCACTTCTCCAAGCCGAGTTCAATTGTAAGAACTTAGGCAAACCCAGTTGGATATTGGGTGTACGTGTGCTCACCACGTCGGACTTCATCAGCTTAGTGCAAGACATCTACATCCGCGACGCCTTATATACCTTCAAATTAGCTGAGAGTCATCTGTACACCCTGCACCGACCCCGTCAACATAAGATATAGTATCTAAAATATACCGGTCCTTGCCACAAGTGTGCATACCCTAAATTTATCGGCACGCCACAGTATCTATCTGTACTCACACGTATTGATATGAGCTACGTCCTCAATACATTAGATCGATACATGGAGAACCCCTCCCAACAACACTGGCTAGCTGCACAACGTATTCTCCGTTATCTGAAAGGTAAATCACATCTCGGACTCGTCTATAACTACCAACAGAGATCTCCTATCGCTGACACTATTTCTGACGCAAACTATGCCTGTAGGGATAATATTATTTATTTCAAAGGAGTTAAGTTACAATGTTTGTACATATGGTATGGCTCTCATAGCCGTTGTAGTGGTTCTGGGAAGATCGATGGGAAGAAGTGGTCATTAAATTCCCTGTTGAAGCTTGGACCAAGTGAGTCGACAATGGAGGATATGCGCTGGGTCAATTCAGGCCGGTGCTGACAAAACACTGACACCATCGAGTGTGCCACGTATTCGCTTTCTGGTCTACTAAATAGCGTACCCACCTCTGTGGTTCGGATCGGGTATTTGTCGTGTAGTGCTGTGGAATGGGCTAGTGCAGAGTACGAAATGCCAAGTAGGACCAGGTTATCTGTCATATTTCGGTTAAGGAGCGAGGTTGGAGTTAAACCGATGCCGCACCAGACCACGGATGCACTCGGTATGTGCTGATTTGCCTGTATTAGAAGTATCATAGGCGGAACCAACAGGCACGATGAATTGGTTTGGACCGAAATTTGGAAGTAATACTTCAACCGCGTGATTAGTCGGGGTATAGGAAACATCTGTTGATATGTCAGAGACGGGTGTGGGTACAGGGGTTGTTCTACATGCTAGAGAAAATATCCAAGGTGTTCGTGGAGGGTCCAGATACCATGGAAGTCGTGGCGCTCCTGTAGTTGCTGGAGAAGATCAGGGCCGATGAGAGGCAGTTTTGGGCTTACTAGGATGCATTGGATCAGTTGCTGGATGCAGGCAAAGTGGCTGGTGGTGAATTTTTGGCCACCGGTGTAGCATCTAAGGACCAGATTATCAAAACAAACAAACAAAAGCCAATCCAAATCACAAAACCCCGAATAATTAAATACTGAGTTTTGGAATCAGGATTGGAATATTTCTGATATTAGAGTCACCAGAAATAGTAGCGTTAGAACCGGTAAGCTATACCGGAATTCCGCATGTGAGAGAAACACTCAAGTAATTCTGAGTCTAGTGAAAACACAAATAAAGACTCAGTTCGGTTCTCTCAGACTAAGGACTTTCCCTAGCTGAGATAACCGTACTTGAGAAGAGATCTATTGTATCCTATTGTCTTGTACCTTTCAGCTACTCTCCATACTCTACATTTTTCACAATCTTAGATAAGTCAACAAGTAACCTAGCACACTAAAGAAGTAAAACCAGAGGTGTGAAAGATAAAACCTTTATTACTGTATTCTGCATATTTAAGCAACCTACGATGAAGTAGTGGGGACCCAGTCAAGAGGAGCAACCTGAGATGTTGAGCCGACGACAGAGACGACAGAAGGGCTTTCAAGATAGAAGACAGAAGAAGGAAGAGAAGAAAGAGAAAGCAACTCCTCAGGTAGCAACAGGACTTCAGAACAACAACTGAGGTAAAGCATAACGTGTCCAGAAGTAAGCTGGTCACGTTATAGAGTGTTACAACAGTCTGGATGAGTGAACAGTATTGTTACCTAGAAAAAAATTATTAGGTGTCAAGGTGATTAATTAATCAATGTTGGGGATTTTCGAATAAAAAAATCCACTGACGTCAGGACCCCTCAGAACCAACACGAGACAATACCCACACAGAATCCACACAACTTAGGCTGGAGCTAGTGTACAATTATAAGAACATTTCAAGTGAGAGGCTTGCTAATTGACCCCCTCAAAGAGCATTAACTAGCAAGTAAAGGGGTAGCTTGATGATCAATGTATGCATCACAAATCTCTCAAAGACAAGCTAAGCATCACAAGTCAGATACCAAAATAGAACTGACAAAGGTAATAATAGACAAGCTACAAGGGTATTAAAAGGGGCTGGATAATTCACTCACAGGAAGTACTATCTAGTGATTTTATAATTAACTTTATAATTATTACACGGGAATTAGAGATCACATATTAAGATCAATATAAATCCACACACCCTAAGACAGCAAATACGCATACCAGTTAAATCTTCAGAGGAGATCACATATATGGTGATGCA